CAAAACCCAACCCCTCTCCCCCTACAACAAACCCCAAAGCAAATATCCTGTCAGCTGAATTGCAACCCACCCCTCCTCTAACCATAGACCCCCCCCCATACTCCAATGCAACTTTACTACTCACATTAGTTTTCATTTCAGCCTAACACAACCCTCCATACCCCAGCACCCCTCCCATCCCAGATCAGTAAGGTAAGCACATACCAACTAACACAATAATGACTAACGCCTCAAACACAATATCTTCATACTAGCTCATTTCAAATTCACTACTGAAGTTGGTTTCTTCCAAGGAACTTGAAACTCATTTACTTAACACCTTTCCTGGGAATCCCCGAACTTATCACTAGGACAATCTCAACACAGCTTTACCCCCCCCCCTAGGCCTGGTAGACCAGTCCAGCAATCAGGAGGCCTGGTCGACGACTGGGCCGCGGGGACGCTAAGCCCCGGAAGCACCTCAGGGTAGGTTACCCCCAAGATCTCGTCCCCCCACTCCAACTCCCCTCCTCCTCGTCCTCCACTTAAGAACGATAAAAGTATTAGGGCCTCACCACAAACAGTGTCAGTCGGCAGAAACGTGTGTAATCCTCACACGTACCAGTCACAAGTGTGTTCTACCGTGCAAGACGGAGCACAAATTAGTGTTCTAATTACAATGGCCCCGAGAATGGCCTCTCTCGGAGGGCGACGTCGACAATGTAACGACGTGAAGTGACTACAGCTGGAGAGCTTACTCTCACACCTCCCAAACATCCCAAATACTCATGTCTCAAGCCTGGGATGCATCACGCTATTTGTGATTTCTGTGTGTAACACTAGTTTTTCTTGTAAGGGGGGGGGTAATGGAATGGAACTATCGGATGAAAGCACCAAGCCATTACGACTATATAGCACTGGAAAGGGGCCAGGATAAGGATTCGGGATGGGATGGGGGGGGAGGGGAGGGAAGGAATAGTGCCCAACCACTTGGACGGTCGGGGATTAAACGCCGACCTGCATGAAGCGAGACCGTCGCTCTACCGTCCAGCCAAAGTAGCCGGATAGGAGGAGGGGAGGGGAGTGAAGAGAATGGAGAGGCGTAGGCGAAGGGAAAGTCTAGAAATGGAAAATACTGAGTTATATGAGAGCAGGCGGGCTGTCCGTCTTGCTGACACGATGTCAATCAACACTAGTAGGGAAAGTTAGCTAAGCAGAGGGGAGGTGGGGGGGGAGGGGAGGCAGGTTAGTGAGGTAGTACAGGAAGTGTAGGGCAGGTGGGTATGTACCCAAGAGTGGGCACGAGTGCCCTGCAGCAGGGTGCCCGTACAAGGACGCCTCAGGGACCGCCACCGTGCCTCAATAACATTACATTTACTACACCTGAAATATGTATCGTCTTAGCGAGTCGTGGGACGGGGAGGATGGAAGGGAAGTTAACTTGAAGGACGGAAAGAAGCGAGTAAAGGGGGAAAGGAAGAGAGCAGAGGAAGGTGGAAGAAAATGAGAATTTCGTTCCATTGACGTGGGATGTATGGGTCTCGAACCATGGAACCCACTCGTGTCAGGAGTCGACTTTAAGATGGGAATGAAAGAGAAAAAGAGAAACTGAGAGGGAACGAAGGGGGGAGAGGTGGAAAGATAGGGAGAGAGGAGGGGGTGGTGGCGTGAGACGTCAGATAAACACCCCTCGTCCTCCCCCCCCCTTTCCGCGGGCAAATAAACCAGCCCGGCCATAAACCACTACCGGGGAGATGTGAGGGGCGAAGGTGCGTCCGACGTACCAACAAACATCCCAGCAGATGAACAAATCCACAAGGGCCGTGACGAGGGTTCGAACCAACGTCCGAGAGGACCCCAGACGCTGCCTTAATCGACTGAACTAAATCCAGGTAAACACCTCACCTAACACGCATTTGCCCCAACTACTTACGAAACATGTGCATCTTTCCTTAATCGTGGCGGCTTTGTTGACAGTAATTAAAAAGTTTCTATTCGCCTGACCTGACAGGGTTATTTACCACAAGGTGAACAGGTGCACGAGGGTGAAGGAAACTGCCCATTTGTTTTCCGTCATCGCCGGGGATCGATTCGAAACTCGCAAAGTGCTTAATACATGTTAACAAAGCAATGATTAAGTAAGGATGTGCAGCTTTCTTAAGTGGCTGGGCACATGCCTGATGAATGGTGACCCCAGAGAGGTAAGGTCATCCTAGCAGGGGTAAGCTGCCGTAAACACTACCCGCCAAATGATGACGTCCACCACAGGGGGGGGGGCTAGTTGGGGGGGAGAGGAGGAGAGAGAGCGAGCGAGAGGGCACGTGAGAGAGACTAGACTTGAGTGAAGCGAGGGCGGCCAGCGTGGCGCGAGCAGCACACCACACACAAACACCTCAGGTGTCTGATGCTATCAGCAGTGTGGGAAACTGAGCGCCACATCCCCCGTTGGTTCAAACAAACACTTGATACCCACAACCACCACACACAGGAGGCACGACTGTGTGCGGGGCGGGGGAAGCAGGCACGAAGAAATAGTCCACTTTATCCTAACAATCACAGTTACCTTTACCTGCAGGACCAGAAGCACAAGCCAATGTTGAGGGAGAAGGAAGGAAGGAGGGAAGAAGGAGGAGGTGAGGGGAGGCGTAGGGTAGGAACTCAACAGCCAATGAGTAAACTGGAGTAGGAGCATCAGGAGCCTCGCCCCAGCACCATCTCCAGAGACCTGTGGTGGGGGAGGGGCATTATTTACCAGTAATTAGGACACCTGAGGCGCCCCTTACGACCCTCACCCACGCCTCTGCTGCCACTCCCATAAGTGGGGGGGGGGGGGGGCTGGCTCCTGGCGGGGGAGGAGCAGCACACCCATTGATTCATGAAAATTAAGCCACCCAAAAGGTGGCACGGGCATGAATAGCCCCTAAGTAGAGGATGTTTGGAGCCAGTACCAGTAGCTGGTACTGTGGATCTGTGGATGGATGGGATCTTCATGGTCGCTGGCAGTGTATGGCCTGCATGAAGCTTGGCTGTTCAGGCTGGTGGCTTAGGGATGGTTGCGTCGCGACGAATCTGCTATCCTCATCCCAATTAAATGAAATACTTTATAGTCTATCTCCTATCCTTTGGTAAGGTGATGGTTAATAAGTCACGCAACACCGATAACATTTCTAAGCGTGAGACGCTAGCACCTAAACCTATGGTAACCAGCCTAGAGAGTTAACTAGCGTTGCCTGTTACTCTACATCTATCAGAGGTGAGCACGAATTGAGGCTGGCTGCTTGGTTAGAAAATTCCCTTCTCTTTCTACCCCCTTGAACCTCTTGACTGTATAGCAGCCTACCAGCTATATATAGCGACTATATAGCCTACCTCCTCCCTTTCTCCTGGCCAACGGACACATCCCCCGCCTCCACTCTACATCACACGCACGAGACGCCCAAAAATCCATAGCAGAAACACAATAGGTGAGCAACCCGCATCTTAGGCCACATCAATACTACACACGCCCCTATAACTCACACCTACTCCACCCACCCCCATCTCTCTCCCCCCTCTCCACCACCCAGACCCCCTCAGCAAGGTCCAAACACAAAACCCTTCTCACAGCCAACATCCAAGCTCTCAACCAACATCCAACTCTCAATCCTGGCCCACAACCCACACTCGTGGCCCTGAAACCCACAATACTGGCCCCACACTCATAATCCTGGGCCCCCCACCCCAACAATCGTGGTCCCCACATCGCGCAGCAGGGGGCCCCCTAAACATAGGCCAGTAACACAGGTGTAAGCCACATATCATAACATCAATACCCCAACAGCACATCTATTATGCAACTCTGGCAGCGTCCACATGTACGAGCATGTGCCAGGCAGCCGCACCTCTTACCTCACCTGAGGGGGGAGCAAGACTGATGGGAGGGGAGAGCAAGACTGACGGGAGGAGGGAGCAAGTGAAGAGCTAGCAACCAGCACGGCGCTAGTAAGGAACTAGCAAGTCTAGCCAACCAACACCTGGCAGCACCTGCTGGCTCCCAACACAAAATCACTGGAGGTCACAGATGAGGAGACATGCACACGAAGGACCGCGAGGGTACACGCCCAAATGAAGAGAGAGGGGGGCAGGCGAGGGTACACGTCCAAATGAAGACAGGGGAACAAGCGAGGGTAGACGCCCACATGGAGAGAGGGGAACAAGCTAGGGTACACGCCCAAATGAAGACAGGGGAACAAGCTAGGGTACACGCCCACATGGAGAGAAAGGGCAGCGGGGAACAGGACATGTCAATCTTCAAACATCGAAATCTGAATCAACACGAAAATTAGAATCCAGACTCAGATGTTTCTACCACAGTTGCTTCCTTCATCAATGTTGATATATCCGTTGTTGTTATAGATTCAGCTACTGGGAACAAAAAGTTCCAAGTAGCACGGGCTATGGTGAGCCCGTAGTGGACTTACCTAGCACAGGAGCGGGGCTGTAACTTGATATATCCGGGAGGCAGGTTCTTTACATACCACAAACCTACTTAACCATCATAACTTGGTTGATCGCCAATTTTTCTTCAAAGTAACGTTGGGCGAACTAATGCATCTATAATTGAACCTATAATTACAATTATTTTACAATTACTGGAGAAACTTGCTTCAATGCCGTATAATTATTGTAACTGACAGGGCTCCAGGATGGACGGAAAAGTCATCACTGTCAGTTCCTGTATGTGAGTTGCGTTGTTGGTTCCAGCCTCGTTACTGCCGCATTATCAGAATTATCGTGCCTATTACTGAGCTTAAGATAAGGTATTTAGCAATGTTTACACTGTGACGTCACGAGACATGACTATGTACTCACCTGGTTGTGCTTGCGGGGGGTTGAGCTTCGGCTCTATGGCCCCGAATGTGAGTGGGGACGGAAGATAGGTGAGAGGGGGGGGGGGTTCGAATTGACTAGGAGGCCACACACACACGGGGTATACTCATCAGTATTCAGTAGGGGAGACACAGGTTTCAGGGTATACTCACCAGTATACAGTTAGGTTTACCGACGGCCCAAAGGTTGACCTTCTTGTCATCGCCGCCGGTGACGAGGACCCGGCCAGACTTGTGACCCAGTGCCAGGCAGTTCACATTGGCACCGTGCGCCACGAACTCTTCTGAAACAACAACACATCGTTAGTATATTAACAACTATCATACACAAAAATATCAATCTTCGTCCCCCTCCCCGACCCCCCCCCCTTCCTCCAGTTCGACTCCCATAGAGCACTTCAATTTAAACTTTAGCATTAATTGTAATTCTAAAAAAAAGTGTACTACACTAACGTACAGTGTATATTGACACCCTGACGGTCGCTTATCCTCCGAGCGCGGTACAAGACACAAGACTGGTAAGGTTTGAGGCTCAGAGGTCAAGGGCCAGATTCACGAAGCAGTTACGAACCTGTACATCTTTCCGAAATCTTTGGCGGCTTTGTTTACAATTATTAAACAGTTAATGAGCTCCGAAGCACCAGGAGGCTGTTTAGAACAATAACAACAGTTGATTGGGAAGTTTTCATGCTTGTATCTGGCCCCAAGCCTGGCCCCGGGACCGGGCTTGGGACATAGAAGTACTCCCAGAACCTCATCCAGGTACACTCCAGGCACATGACACGTCGCTGGTTCACCAAGACCACTCACATTATATACTTCATTAATTATTTACGTAGCTACTATAACTGCTGAGGAATAGTGAACGTCCATTGGCTCACTAAACGTTTCGTTAATTGATCCTCACTTTCATTAAATACTTGTGCTTTCAATCATCCTTGTTAGTACGCTAATGCCAATGACATCAGCGGCAGAAACAAGGAAACTTATGCATTACTACAGCTAAGCATAGATATATGAAAAATACAATGAGGTTATGCAATGTCATGCAAGCACATACAACCTGTGCTACTTCACTCCAGCACAGACAATAATCATGAACTGATTTACGCGAACAAAGCATTTTAATATTAAGAACTTCAGTATGCTTCACGGGTACAAAATCGACAGAACTTTCGCTCTTAGTTCGAAGTCTAAACCAACACCCCCACCCCAAGGACAAAAGCAAATTTCAGACGTTATTCAATTCTCAACTTCCACAGACTGGAAAAAAATTAAGCTCCACCAATTACAGGCACTATTTCAGACACCCCCCCAAGGTCTCCTATATCGGTCGAGCCAATCCCGGTCCGCTCTTAATGACTCGAACAACAACAAATTAATGAGCACACAGGTCAGCGTTTCCGTAACTAGGTCACCCCCTGGCTCTCTGAGTCAGAGGGCTCTATGCCCCCCCTGGCTCTGAGTCAGGGGGCTCTATGGCCCCCCCTGGCTCTCTGAGTCAGGGGGGGGGCTCTATGGCTCTCCTGGCTATTTCCCATTAACATTGGCGGTTAAGGAATGCAGGAAGAGGCCAATTCCCCGGGAAACTTGGACCTTTCAGTCCTGGACGCCGATTCTCACATTATTACTTATAAAATCATAAAATTAAATGGAAACATTTCCAAATCAATGCAAATACCACAAATTCAAGCGACGCCTTGGGATTTTTTTGCATGTTCAGATTCATGAGTAATTATCAGCTCAGGTTGATAAGACAGGTTTTAATGGGCCAGTTATCATGCAAAGATTGAGTTGCTGTGCTGGCAGCACCACTTGCAATGTCCCTTTCCACCGTGCCTTAACCCACCACCTAATGCCACAGCAAGGTAACACGCTCCGCTGATCCCACCTGGCTCAACAAGGTCACCCCCATCACACCCAAGATCCTTTCCTATCCCATCAAGTGCACATCAAGGTTACCTTACCTTACCTTGAGGTAAGGTAAGGAAGGTCACTCCAGTCATAAAACTTCCCCATAAAGGTCCACTCAAGGCCACTCCCTCACCCAAACCAATACCCAACTAAGGTCACCTATAACGCTAAGGAGACTCCCAGGGACGGTCGCCTCGCTAATAATTCATGTCACTACAACAGTCACTGCAGAGAATAGCGAAGCAGTGATCCGGGAGGGACGGGAAGGGAGGGAGGGGCTAGGAAGCGAGGGGGAGGGAGGGGCTAGGAAGCGAGGGGAAGGGAGGGGCTAGGAAGGGAGGGAAGAGACGAGGATGGGAAGGAGCGTTTTGGAGACAGGGAGACAAAGAGGGGAAGGGAAGAACTAAACATTGTGAGGGGCGGTAGGGAAGGATGAGGAATAATTCCTCCGGCACCGTAATAATGAAAGACAATGTTGACAAAGAATTACCAAATGTTGCTCTAACGTTGGGATTAAGTTGATCATGGTGGCGCAGCTCCACAACAGTTAAGTCAAACCGGAGTTGGTAGTGTAGGACTGTGTGTGTGTGTGTGTGTCCAAACAGAGCTGACTTATTACTAAACTGAGATGTGCGAGGGACGGGGGCGGGGTCAGGTATTGGTGAGAGGGAACCTGGTTGATGGGGTTCTGGGAGTTCTTCTACTCCCCAAGCCCGGCCCGAGGTCAGGCTCCAGGTTTTCACACCAGTGAGAGCCGTAAAAAAAAAGTCCAACAGCAGCTATTTCCGGTACAATAGCGACATCAAGAACACCTGTGATTTACCTGCGGTCGATTTCAATAGTTTATCTACTCTAACAGACAGCATACACCCAAGACTGAAGGGGACGCAGCAGCACACACACACACACACACACACACACACACAAGAGTAGGAAAACCAAAAACATCGACAATGGAAGTAGGGGTCCAATTCCCCAGGTGAGGGGCCCAGGTGGTCTCATCGGATCCCATTTACTGCGTCGTCCCTCCTTACCCCCCCCCTCCCCTGTCCCTCCACACCCGCAATGACCTACCCTCTAGGCAGCCTAGTGTGGGCGGCACCCACGCCCTTGTGTGGGCAGCTCCTACGACCCGCCCATACACACATTGAGACGCACAGGTGATCGTAAGTACAGGAATGCAAGACGAGCTGGCCATTGCAGACCTGGCCAGGCATATTGATACAGTGGGAGGGGGAGCGGGGGGTGTAACAAGGGGGAGATAAAGGGAGGGGAAGGATCTTCTTGAGGTTATCTTGAGATGATTTCGGGGCTTTTTAGTGTCCCAGCGGCCCGGTCCTCGACTAGGCCTCCACCCCCAGGAAGCAGCCCGTGACAGCTGACTAACACCCAGGTACCTATTTTACTGCTAGGTAACAGGGGCATAGGGTGAAAGAAATTCTGCCCATCGTTTCTCGCCGGCGCCTGGGATGGAACCCAGGACCACAGGATCACAAGTCCAGCGTGCTGTCCGCTCGGCCGACCGACTCCCTTGATAGGGATAGATAGATCCCTCCCATAGATCCCTAGATAGGAGGGATAGAGGGAGGGGTAGATAAACTGTTTAACACGGGTGGGACGCGAACAAGGGGACACAGGTGGAAACTGAGTACCCAAATGAGCCACAGGGACGTTAGAAAGAACTTTTTCTGTGTCAGAGTAGTTAACAGGTGGAATGCATTAGGCAGCGACGTGGTGGAGACTGACTCCATACACAGTTTCAAATGTTAATATGATAGACCCCAGTAAGCTCAGGAATCTGTACACCAGTTGATTGACAGTTGAGAGGCGGGACCAACCTTAACCCCCGCAAGCACAATTTGGCGAGTACACGAGGCGCCTCGCGGCTGAGTGGACAGCGCTAGGGAGGGTCGTAGTCCTAAGGGCCCGGTTTCGATTCCCGGCCGAGGCGGAAACAAATATAAACCCAGTCCTTGTCTCCAGCTGGTCATGACGCTAGTACAGAGGCACAGAAGCGTATCAAGCAAATATGTGCGTTGGCAGGTGTCTTTGTTTCTTTATAACCAATCATCGTGACGATGTTATCTGGCAAGGTCATCCGCCAGGGTCAGGATTCATCAGGCATTTGCCCAACCACTTACGAAACCTGTACATCTTTCGTTAATCATGGCGGCTTTGTTGACATTTATTAAACAGTTTAAGAGCTGCCTAGTAATAAAAGATTGTTTATGACAAAGAAAATCCTTGGATTGTGACATTTCTAAGCTAACTGTTCACTAAATGTAAAGCAATCCGCCATGATTGTCGAGATAGAGAGGTTTCGTAAGAGTACGCATAAATATTTGAATGAATCCTGGCCCAGGAAGCCTAGTCGGAGACCGGGCCGCGAGAATATTGATCCTGGCAAGCAACTCAAGGTAACCAGAAGGTAAGTATGCAGCAGCGAACCAGGCACCACGCCCACACCCCAAGACCCAAAGAGTTAAGTGACGACCAGACCAAAAGGAGACCAAAAGACCAGAGCAGACCATTATAACTAGAAAATCAAGCCACGACAGCGGTCCAAGATAATGGCAACTACCTGACAGACAACAAAACACGTAGCAGTGGATAAAGAAGGGTCCCGGGGGGGGGGGTGTTGACATTCCACCGAGTCTCAGGTTTGTTGGTGCAGTGGATTATTTTGCTTGGTTGACAAGCTGGTGGTTCAGGGTTCGAACACGCTGGTGGTTCAGGAGTTCGAACATTCCTGGTTAAGGCAGTACTTCTGGCTGCTCACCATTGTGTCCCACTTTAATTGCGAGCATGAGACTCCAGAGCCTGCAAATGGAAAGGTGTCGGATCCACGGGTGATGGTGAGGACAGAGAGGGAGGGGTAAGCATCCAGGTGTGCGAGGGAGGAGTGCGTGCGTGCGTGTAACAACAGGCGAGGACAGTTACTAGTGTGCGTGCGGTGGCGTGTGAGTCAGCGTGGCCTGAGGGGGCAATAGGCTGGCGAGCCACCAGAGTATGTCCGGAGTTACTCCTCCACTACCACCACTCGCAACTCTCCGCTACTCCCCCACCTCTACCACCATCGCACACAACAACATCAGCAGCAGTAGTAGTAGTAGTAGTAGTAATAACCTTCCAGCCGTTATCTTAAGCAATTCGACTATCAACTACACAAAACAATACTTCCTCCTACCTCCTTGGCAAACTGCTCTGGTCTTTGTGACTGTCTTAAACACAGAAGGTCGGAACATTTACAATCCCACAATATGCTTCCCTGCCCCTCTACCAGTCTACCTACATACCTCCCGGTCCCCCCTAACCTACCAACGTACCTGGCAATTTATCTACCTTCCTTCTCCCTCACAATGTCAAACATTAAACTTGGGTACCGGGTTCAAAACTACCAACTTCCCAGAACTGGCTGACTCACACTCACCTTCAACCCCCCCCATTCCCTCCTTCCTGGTCCCATCCCTGACATGACCGCTCTTCTCCATCCCTGGATAGTAGGAATGGTACTATCCAATCATCCCCTATCGTCTAGTTGTCATCCTTGCCGACTGTTCCTCCTCTCTTTTGCCGTCCTGCCTCGTTACAATGAGAGAAAGTGGGATAAGAAGACATCGATGATAGATGGAAACGCAGCTGAGTTCAATAAATGCTCGTACCCAGAACGGGGGGTCAGTAAGTGGCACGCTCTGAGAGAAGTGGAAGGCACCGTCGTTCCCAACTTCGCTAACAGAGCCAGTATTAATCTAATGCCCACTTACGAAACCTGTACATCTCGCCTTAGTCATGGCGGCGTAGTTTATGATACAGTTTATGGAGCTCCGAAGCGCTACGAGGCTGTCTATAATAATAATAACTCCTGGGTTGAAAACTACTTCGCAGCTTTTTCAAGCTCGTAAAACCGTTTAATAAATACATATTTAACCTGAGTGATCAAAGAAAGATGAACAGGTTTCGCTAGCGGACACTTAGGTGCTTGATGAATCCTGTTTCTGGTATGACAAAGAACTTGAACTGTAAGAGACATAAAACACAAGGCACTAACTTCAGCAAGCTGGGAGACAGAGCATGGCTATAACCGCCCTCACTCTGAAGAACTGAACCTCACTCCCTTGTTATCAATGGATGTAAACACTTTGAAGAGTTCCCCCCATCCCGTCTACCTGTACCCCGGTACCATTACCCCCCCTACCCCCCGCCATTACACAGGATTCCCCAGCGCCACCCCCCACTACCCTGAGAAACAGACCAGGCTTCACCACCACCGCCTCGGGGAGCAAGTAGCCAGTCCTGTATAGACAAGAACTCACTGGAGTGTTAGTTAATCTCACCGGCGTCGACGACACACAAGTTGAGGCGCAACACTAGCTATTATCTGGAGACGACCCTTAAGGCCTTAATACCATAGCGGAAGACCACCTCCACCAGGGGTCGTGGTGAGAGTAGAAGGTCTTCCCCCACCAGGTAGGTGGACGACCTAGGTGGTGGAGCGAGCTCATCTTCCCCCACCAGTAAGATCGACAACAAAGGTGGTGGACGTGATGTTCAGCACCCCCAACAAACATCATCCCCCTCCCCCCCCCCCCCATCTTCCCAATACCCACACATCCCCCCAACCCCCAACACCCCCATCTCCAACACCCACACATCGCCCCAAAATCCCCAAAACCCTACACAAATCCTACCAATGCGTCAGGCGTTCCTACCAAGAAGGCAGTGGGCGACCTGAATGACTTGCTCGCCGTGTGTGGGCGCGGGCGTGAACGGAAACCAGGTGAACAAGGCCGGAAAGCTGCCCCACCTGGCGGCCACACCTGCAGTCCCCTATGCTACCGCCAGGGGGTTATCGTCTTCTTGAGAGATGGTTATCTTGAGATGATTTTAAAAGGTGGAAGAGGAGTGAGGAAACAGGTTGGTAATGAATCTAATACAGATGTCTCCGCCACACACTAATTCTTAAGTGAGCGGGAAGGGGGTGATGGAGGGTGAAGATGATAGAGTAGGATGGAGGAGGGAGATAGCGTAAGGGTGCAGGGAGAGCTAATAGGCCTTTTGTAGTTTCATTTATTGATACGTCTCAACATTACGAGAGAAATACGCGTATCTTCCTTACGGATGGATATCTATGATACCTGCTTGATACCTGGTTGATGGGGTTCTGGGAGTTCTTCTACTCCAAGCCCGCCCCGAGGCCAGGCTTGACTTGTGAGCGTTTGGTTCACTAGGATGTTGTTTGCAGCGGCCCGCAGGCCCACATACCCACCGCAGCCCGGTTGGTCAGGCACTCCTTGGAGGAAACTATCTAGTTTTTTCTTGAAGATGTCCACGGTTGTTCCGGAAATATTTCTTATGCTCGCTGGGAGGGTGTTGAAGAACCGTCGACCTCTGATGTTTATACAGTGCTCTCTGATTGTCATATGTCACCCCTGCTCTCCACTGGTTCTATTCTGAATTTTCTTCCATATCGTTCACTCCAGTATGTTGTTATTTTACTGTGCAGATCTGGGACCTGGCCCTCCAGTATTTTCCACGTGTATATTATTTGACATCTCTCCCGTCGTCTTTCTAGCGAGTACATTTGCAGAGCTTTGAGACGACCCCAATAATTTACATGCCTTATCGCGTCTATGTATGCCGTATATGTTCTCTGGACTCCCTTTATTTCTAAATATCCCTCTATGAGCCAGTCGTGTTTGACCGACATGTTGGTGAAGATGATGGTGCTCAGGGAGTTGGGGACTAACATTGTCATCCTCGCGAAGAATCCCAAAATTACCAGTTCGACACCAAGCAATGTTTCAGCAACACTGTGCGTCACTGACTGGAGTTTGGAGGACCAATGTGTCGTTCAGGAGGTACCCAGCAGAATATTAGTGAAACGAACAGCAGAAGAGTGAAGAGCAGTATGTCAACATAAGAGGAGTGGACACTACGCCAGAGAGGGTACAAGATCAGAAAGAGGAATAGGAGGATGCTACACCATTAAGGGTACAGTAATTTAAGGAGGGTCACTGCACCAGGAGGCGGCAAGACTGCACCACCTGGAGGGACTCTGGGAGGGACACTGCACCATCAAGTAGGTCAAGGTGGAGAGGCAGGGCCGTCTAGCACTACTGTGTGTGAGGGGAATCGATGACCTCAAATGGCTGCTGCATCCGAGGTCCCTTGTGCATGATCCTTCCGCTCCGTCCGTCTCCCCGCCACACTCAGGCCCAAGACACCACCCACCACCCCCCTTCCCAGCCAGACGCGGGGACAGGGTATAATTTCAATAGTCCTGTCTCCTGTCCCGTGTGTACCCGAGATGGATCTCGCCTCAGACTAACAATAAAATAGTCACCATCTTTGTGCACAACACTACCTCGTCAGATAGTACGCGTCTCTAGGGTAAAGCGTCTTAAACGCTCTCCCGAGAGGTCTAAATCTCTAGTGGCTTTTTCTCTTTACAGCCTCAGTACAGTTCTTGCTTGGCTTCTAGTCGATGCATTTGTAGCCGGATCCTGCAGTTCCTCTGCTCCCAAAGTCCGGCATGGCATCACTCATTCCCTGGTCTCCTGTGCTCGTTAGCGTTCATTTGCTGTCTTCATCCAGTTTCATGCCTCTTAATTCTAGTAACTAATATTTATCACTTTACAGCTTGTCAATCATTTATCAAACCAAGTAACGAAGGTGTTCAAGTCCGTCTGTTGTTCAAGTGGTGGCGTCTACCTACCTACCTTGTGTAGCGTACCTCAGCTTCCTAGCTTAATGCCATTGGAGAAGTTAGATAGCGTACAGCACAATGCACCTGCTTGATGGGGTTCTGGGAGGTCTTCTACTCCAGATTGATGTCATTTTACATTTGATACGATTGATACCATTTAGCAAAAACAGAACTAGGTCCTTGACCGACCGCCAGGCACTCTGCTTGTACTATTCAGCCGGTGCGACGTATTTAACACTACAAGGCGTTTGTGTCCACGAAGTCAATTTTTACACCCTTTGAAGTTACATATATTAATGGTGTGCACTTTTACTGTTGAAAGAAATCTTCGAGGACAGGGGGGGGGGCAGGGAACACGAGGACAGGGGGGGGGGCAGGGAACACAAGGACAGGGGGGGGGCAGGGAACACAAGGACAGGGGGGGCAGGGAACACGAGGACAGGGGGGGGCAGGGAACACGAGGACAGGGGGGGCAGGGAACACGAGGACAGAGGAGGACAGAGGAGGACAGGGAACACGAGGACAGAGGAGGGCAGGGAACACGAGGACAGAGGAGGGCAAGGAACACGAGGACAGGGGGCAGAACAACGAGGACAGGGGGAAGCAGGAACACGAGGACAGGGGGCAGGAACACGAGGACAGGGGGCAGGAACACGAGGACAGGGGGCAGGAACACGAGGACAGGGGGAAGCAGGAACACGAGGACAGGGGGCAGGAACACGAGGACAGAACAGCAGTTGGGATATGAGAGCGGAATGATGGATACTACCCCCCCCCCCACCCTATTCATTTACGAAAATGAATAGGTAAACTCGTCTCTGAAAACACATGTAAACCCAACATGGATCCAACAGTTCAACGATGGTGGATTTGAGAGATATGGGTTTACCTGGCCAGTTGACGTCGAGCTGGTTGTCCTGGATACGGCTGCCTGGCGCTGGTTCAAACAAATACATATAAAATGTACATATAAATACATATATAAAAAAAAAAAAAACGATTCTTCGCGGCAGGGGATCGTATTCCAGGGACCATAGGATTAAGGACTTGCCCGAAACGCTACGCGTACTAGTGGCTGTACAAGAATGTAACAACTCTTGTATATATCTCAAAAAAAAAAAAAAAAAACTCCTTGGCTGACTTTCGAAAAGTGATGTAATAACTAATTTAAATGAAGACAAGTTTCTCTCGAATAAGATGATAAAACAACACACACAACACTGAACAAGGCAATAGTGAACACAAGTGAACATGTTAAGTGAGCACAACACAACAATGAACACTAATCAAGTAAAGTGACAAGTGACACAAAAACATAGCTTCAGTGCCACAAACAAGAGCAGAAGCAAGCAGAAGAAGATACTACATCAAGCACAAGAAGACACGAGCATCACAAAAGCCGTAGGGTTGAAAGATAAGCCAAGCAATGGGGAGCAGGTAAAGCAAAACAGAAAAAAAGCTGCAGTTAAGAGGAAAACGAAATGGAAGCAGAAGACAACAAGAAAGCAGAGATGAAGGCAGCAGAAGACAACAAGAAAGCAGAGATGAAGGCAGCAGAAGACAACAAGAAAGCAGAGATGAAGGAAGCAGGAGACAAGCAACTGTAAATTACCTATTCTGTCGAACTCAGAGTGCCTGAGCCTCCAAGCACGCGGACGCGTGGGTAGCAGCTTGTGTTTACAGCACGTCCTCACCCGCCGACCCTCCCCGACCACCACCATGTCCTCAGTGCTCCGGTGGTGGCGGCATGACCTCTGGCTCACCCAGGGGCGGCGCGTGGGCGTGAGGGGCGGCACACGGTGCGGTGGGCGTGGCTTGGAGATGATGGTGGCGGCGGCGGCGGCAGTGGTGGGGTAGGAGAAGGGGGAAGAGGGGGCGCTGGTGATGGAGTAGATAGAAGGAGCAGCCACCAACCACCACCACTGGCCTGCATCACTCGGGGCACCCGCCGCCGCCCACACTCCACCCTCAATCGCCACCACCCTGAATCGCGATCGCCACCACCCTCGCCAATGGCCCTATAACCAAGTCCATATTCCTTCCATCACAACACTTCAATATGACTAAAAACTCCTCTTTCCCCCCACGTCGGTCAAGGCTCTTACACCTATTACTGTGTCGAAGGTAAAGAGGGAAGGCTATGAAGGAGGAGGTCCTCGGATCCGAAGTCGCACCTTCAAGTTGCTACTGACACCCTTAAGTGTCACTGGAGGCAGCGGAATCTCCTTATTCTAGCGAGTGGGAGTGTGCTGGTGACTTCGCAGGCTGCCACTAGCACCTTAAGATTAAAGAAGTGGTTGGTAAAGTGTCTTGAATCGTGAGTGAAGGAAGGCCTGGAGGTGGACTTAGCACAACTTTACTGAGGTACAGTCAATCACAAACTTACAGCTGTCTACTTCACTAAGTAGAGTACCTGCGTCGGGTACTACCACCTCTATCCATGCCTGTTACACCTTCCTGTCATGAAGGTGCCCCACTGTACGCGAACATGTCACTCTGCACCCACACCGACTCATGTTCCCGCTGTGCACAAGTCTTCTACTGACCACCCTCAAAGAGGCTCTTTACGTTCTCCTTTCCCACTTCATTTCCCCCAGCCACCCTTTAATGTTCACCGGAGTTACAGCACTTGTGGGATAGAACAACACTGAATATTTCGCGAGGAGAGGCGCCCCGGAGGAGAGGTCAAGAGAAGGCGCGGAGCGTGGTGTCAGGTGCCGCCCTTCCTCACCAACACACACACACAACACACTGAAGCTCTCACGCACGCCAACCCGTTTTCCTCCATTCAATCCCGCGCACACACGCATATGACGCGAAGCTGGTGAGGGGGAACCAGGATGGTTGCTAAATACTGCAGGATGGGGGAAGTTTTGAGCGAGACAGCTTTTTGGCTGGAAACGCTCCAGCCTCCAGAGGCACACACACACAGGGAAACTTTGCCGGCATACGCAAACTTGGCAAATAAAACCAGCTTTCAGAAATCTAAATACAGATTAAAAGCATTTAAAACGTTTTACAGCACCTATACGAGACCTATTGGCGTGCTAGAGCACGTGACAATAACAGTCCTTGCCTCGTAAAACAGGAAAACTTACAAAGATTAGCACAAGACAAAAAGCAGAAATAAGAGGATTGGGACACGAGGACAATGTTAAGGAAACCTGTCCATTCACCACAAGAAAAGAATTAAAAGGGACTTCATCACAACATACAAAAATACGCAAAAATAGAAACAGGGCGAATATGGACTGTGTAGTTTATCAAGGGTAAGAACTGAAAACATGGATGAGTAGCAACAAGAAATACTTCTTCAGTGTACAAGTAATGAGCAAGTGAACTGTGATTGGTCAGGTGATGAAGGACATTCAGTCACAGCTTCAGTAGCATCTATGACAATGTACAAAAGTGTGTAGAGTCGCTGCACCAGGTGGATGAAAGCTAAGAGGCGGGGGGGGGGGGCTAGAGCTAAAACTCTACTTTCTGAAACAGAAATAGGCACCATCCACCCACCCACACTCACACACTTGTGTAAGGAATCATTCAGAACTTTGTATACCACCTATGTCAGACCAATCCAGGAGTATGCGGCTCCAGCATGGAGTCCATATCTAGTCAAGCATAAGACTAGACTGGAAAAGGTTCAAAGGTTTGCCACCAGACTAGTTCCCGAACTGAGGTGTATGAACTACAAGGCGAGACTACGGGAATTAAACCTCACGTCACTGGAAAACAGAAGAGTTAGAGGGGACATGATCACCACTTACAAGATTCTCAAAAGAATTGATAGGGTAGATAAAGACAGACTATTTAACTTAACGATCACACGCACTAGGGGACACGGGTGGAAATTGTGTACTCAGATGAGACATTAGAATTATTTTTCGTGTCAGTAGTTGACAAATGGAATGCACTAGGAAGTGATGTAGTGGAGGCAGACTCCATACACAGTTTTAAGCGTAGATATGAGGCTAAGGAACCTGCATATCAGTTGATTGACAGTTCAGAGGGCGGGACCAAAGAGCCAGAGCTACACTCCCGCAAGCAAAACTAGGTGATTACGAGGACGCCTCACAAAGGAACTGGGTCAGGCCAAAACATGCTCATACAACAAAGATAACACGTGGCTGTTGTCGGGCGCCTTAACACTCACATACCTGGCACCCGCCTCCGGGCTCACATACCTGGCACCCGCCTCCGGGCTCACATACCTGGCACCCGCCTCCGGGCTCACATACCTGGCACCCGCCTCCGGGCTCACATACCTGGCACCAACCCGGAGGAAAGGAGGGTTGTCAGTACTTGGAACTAAACCGGGGGTGAGAGAGGACGCTATAGAGACAGTTGGTGTATGTGTTCTAGTGCCAGTTGGCAGCGTCAACGACCTGAAGATGGTGTTGAGGCACCAGTTGGCACCCCTCGGAGCCAAGCTACCGACCCCACCGACACTACACACACTCGTCACCGACTAGGCAACAAAGTAGCGCGCGTATACACAGTACCTCTTTTCCCAGTACGCGACGCGAGAGTGCCGCGTATTATTTTCGAAGCGGAAGTGCGTATCTGCGTCTCCCCCTTCACACCCTCCCATGACCCAGTTACCCCTCACACACCCCTCTGAGTACCTCCCTATCCATCCCCATACCAGACTGTCCTCGCCCCCTATCCATATCCGCGTGGCGTGCATATCGATCTCCGGCGTGTTTGGCCGGAGCTCATACGCCGGCTACGCCAACTGGCGTCACTTCGCCAAACCACAGTCAAGGGGGGCCCTGCACTAGCCTGGCCAGGGGGGCCTGCACTAGCATGGCCAAGGGGGGGCCTGCACTAGCATGGCCAAGGGGGAGCCTGCACTAGCATGGCCAAGGGGGGGCCTGCACTAGCATGGCCAAGGGGGGGCCTGCACTAGCATGGCCAAGGGGGGGCCTGCACTAGCATGGCCAAGGGGGGGCCTGCACTAGCATGGCCAAGGGGGGGCCTGCACTAGCATGGCCAAGGGGGGGCCTGCACTAGCATGGCCAAGGGGGGGGCCTGCACTAGCATGGCCAAGGGGGGGGCCTGCACTAGCATGGCCAAGGGGGGCCTGCACTAGCATGGCCAAGGGGGGCCTGCACTAGCATGGCCAAGGGGGGGGGGGGCCTGCACTAGCATGGCCAAGGGGGGCCTGCACTAGCATGGCCAAGGGGGGGGGCCTGCACTAGCATGGCCAAGGGGGGGGCCTGCACTAGCATGGCCAAGGGGGGGGGGCCTGCACTAGCATGGCCAAGGGGGGGGGGCCTGCACTAGCATGGCCAAGGGGGGGGGGGCCTGCACTAGCATGTCGGGCTTGTTACGGCACTGGTGTTTTATGGTGGATGCTACTAGCAGCCCAGTACCACACCTGAAGCATCTGGTGGATGCTACTAGCAGCCCAGTACCACACCTGAAGCATCTGGTGGATGCTACTAGCAGCCCAGTACCACACCTGAAGCATCTGGTGGATGCTACTAGCAGCCCAATACCACACCTGAAGCATCTGGTGGATGCAACTAGCAGCCCAGTACCACACCTGAAGCATCTGGTGGATGCAACTAGCAGCCCAGTACCACACCTGAAGCATCTGGTGGATGCTACTAGCAGCCCAATACCACACCTGAAGCATCCCGGGGCGACGCTACTGGCGGATGTTTCCGGAAACATCCGGAAATCCAATTTGCAGTTCTAATAACCTCTCATCACGATTTCAACTCCCATCCTGCATTTCACTCACTTTCTACGTTAAGTAAAAGACTCCCTTCCCCCTCACAATCCCCCCTCCCTCCTCTCACCATCCCCCCTCCCCCCTCTCACAATCCCCCCCCCCTTCCCCCACCAACAGTTTCACTTTCACTGCTCATGTACTATTACCAGTTCCCATTTTCTTCACTACCCAAATCAAATTGCTTTGTTATCTAATTCCATTTTCGTTTATATATACAATTCCATTTGCTGTAGAGTCCAGTCCCAATTGTTTACTATCCAATGGTATTTATTAAAGTCACGATGCTATTGTCTTTGTTCACCTTCAGTGGTCCATTCATCTCTCCTTCACTATTAATTTTCCTATATCCAAGCGCTCTCCTTTGTTTCTTACACCTCTTATCTCACTATCACCACCCAGTCCTCTCTCCATCACCACCATCCAGCCCTCTTACCACGTGCTCAATACCTTCACCTCACCAATCGTGACTGAGTAAACTGTGACCTTTGCACAGTTGCATACTTATTGCATTTGTAGGTGGCCTTGTGCGATGTCTGGCCTGTTTGGTTGGTGGTTGTTCGTCTTTCGTGCTGATGGGTGGGTGGGAGGAGAGAGACAGAGACAGAGACACAGAGACAGAGAGACAGACAGAGACACAGAGACACAGAGACAAGGCGGGACCAAAGAGCCAGAGCTCAACCCCCCGCAAGCACAATTAGGCGAGTATAATTAGGATAATTAGGCGAGTACATATTCCACAAGACAATCAATAATTAACTACAACCATCCAATATAAACAGTCGGCAACAGCCAGCCAGCCGCCACCTGCCAGCTGGAGCTGTGCGTGGCAGGCGGCCAGGCGAGGTGGTAGCGAGAACAGTCGCCAGAGGTCAAGTGGCTGGTGCCGCCAAGATGGCCAGGTGACCCCAATATCAAAGATGGTACAAGAGGGCCCCAATCATAACCTCCCCTTCACCCACCCCCAACACTAGTATTTAATAGTCGTCCTCGGGTGCCACCAGATGGCTCTGCAAGGTCGCTAGCCCCTTCCCCCTCCCCAACACGTCGCCCGGCACACACACACACACGCGCGCACACAAACTCTTCAGCACGGGTGGGACACGAACAAGGGGACACAGGTGGAAACTTAGTACCCAGATGAGCCACAGAGACGTTAGAAGGAACTTTTTCAGTGTCAGAGTAGTTAATAAATGGAATGCACTAGGAAGTGATGTGGTGGAGGCTGACTCCATACACAGTTTCAAGTGTAGATATGATAGAGCCCAGTAGGCTCAGGAATCTGTACACCAGTTGATTGACAGTCGAGAGGCGGGACCAAAGAGCCAAAGCTCAACCCCCGCAAGCACCATTAGGCGAGTACCTGCTGAAGCTGACGCACTCGCCATTCTCCTGGAGGACACGAGACCTTGCTGATGCAGGAAGGAACAGCCAAAGGATACCTGATCAACCAGGCTGTGATTCGTACGTCAGGCTGCGAGCAGCCGTGTCCAACAGCCTGGTTGACCAGTCCAGCAACCATGAGGCCTGGTCGACGACCGGGCTGCGGGGACGCTAAGCCCCGGAAGCACCTCAAGGTAACCTCAAGGTAAGGTAAGGTAACACGTGGAAAACACGAGGTAACTGAACGATGCAATACAAAAATGCAAAGAAGTACCAAGCTGATAGAAAACAGTATCAACACAGTGTGTTGCTGACAGTAGCAGGTCGGCCGAGCGGACAGCACGCTGGGCTTATAATCCTGTGGACCTGGGTTCGATCCCAGGCGCCGGCGAGAAACAATGGGCAGCGTTTCTTTCACCCTATGCCCCTGTTACCTAGCAGTAAAATAGGTACCTAGGTGTTAGTCAGCTGTCACGGGCTGCTTCCTGGGGGTGGAGGGCTGGTCGAAGACCGGGCCGCGGGGACACTAAAAAGCCCCGAAATCATCTCAAGATAACTGACAGTAAACGTCAGTTGCAACACACTTTGGCACAGTTAAA